AGTATTATATAGAGCGGTCACCGATCGTGTCTCTTTAGGGCACTTGGAGGAAACCACGCAATTCATATGGATTACTTTGCCGATGTTTTTTTGAGATTTCAACTTTTTGAAACATGAACATCTTTGGTGAATCTTCTTTCATCGGAGGGACATAAATCTCTCAGATTTTTATTAAAATATCTCAGCTTTTCTTTTGAAGATGAACGAAAGTCTTAGATGGTTTGGAGCATCTTAAGGGTGAGTGATGACAGAATTCAAATTGTTTTGGGGGAACTATGAAATTAATTAGAAAATATAGCGGTATGTTCTTATTTTTACCAGCTTCTGCAAGCGCGTATGGCGTCTGGCTTTTGGAACCTCACTGTGACTTCAGGTAAGATTTAATTAACGTTATTTGTCTGTGCCAGTCGTGTTTTTGACACATGCATTGGCAGAAAAAAATAAATAAAATAAAATTAGTCATTATAACATGTACAACATTAACATTCTTTTATTTGCAAAATGAAGTTGTGCATTTATTTATTTCTGATTTCCTGAACAATTTGGCTTCATTGTAATGAGGTTAATGATCTTTGAAAAACCATGATTATGAACATACAATTACTTTGTCTTGAGCTGATTAGCCAACTGTGGTAGTGTTCGTTGATTGGTGTTTATATTTGTTCAAGCTTGACAACCTTATCGCCTTTATTTTCTAATATATATTTCTCATTACAGATAAGAACAAAGATTAAATTGTAAGAAGGGTTGCTTATATGAGAGCATACAGTACATCTGAAACTGCTGAGGCTGGGAAGGCTTTTGACTATATTACCGACCAGGTACATTGTTCTCAGCGTACTGTCATTCTTAAAAAGAAAACAAATCATCAATCATCATTTGCTTTTGTGTGTGTGTGAAATATTAACATTTGTTGTTTTTCAGATCAGCTGCTATAGAAGACAAACTGAAATCTGAGTGCAGAGACAAGCAAAGGAATAGTAAGTATATTTTCATGTTGTATCACCTCTGTTATAGAGATTTTTGAATCAGGCCTAATGGAGGGTGATTTGGTCAATCTTGAAAGAAAAATGTTAGCAATGTGTCCATTCCAGCTGGCTAATTTGTGCTTGCTTTCAGTCATTCATGTAAAAATCTGTTATTTAATTTTGTTTCTGTTTTGTTTTTTTCTAAAGCTGCAAGGCTCTGGTGCAAAATATTGTATGCCAGGAGTCAGGACGACTAGGCTGTGCCCAGGTCTCCAGAACCTGCGACGACGCTCAGCTCCATCAGCCCTCCATCTGCGCCTTCGGATCCACCAGCTCTGTCTCCATCGGTCGGCCCCCAGATGTTGGCAGCCACACCATCTACATCTTGGCTCCTCGCTCCCTCGATTCCGCCGTGTGTTGTCAGCACTGGGATGCTCTGGGTCTGTGCCATGTGCCAAACACCATCTAAGCTGCCAGGGCATCATCGTCATCCTCCCATCACCATCCCTTCGCCACATCCTGCCATCATCCCCGCACTTTTGCCTCTCACCATCCCTACGCCATCTCCTTGTCCACCTCCAAAACCCCCTCCATCCCTCCCTATTCTGTTGCTTGAACTTTATCATCTTCAGTCTTTGAAAAACAAAGTGCATAAGTGAATAGCTGTGTGTGTGCAAAGACTGAAGATGAGAAAGATCAAGCAACAGAATAGGGAGGGATGGAGGGGGTTTTGGAGGTGGACAAGGAGATGGCGTAGGGATGGTGAGAGGCAAAAGTGCGGGGATGATGGCAGGATGTGGCGAAGGGATGGTGATGGGAGGATGACGATGATGCCCTGGCAACTTAGATGGTGTTTGGCACATGGCACAGACCCAGAGCATCCCAGTGCTGACAACACACGGCGGAATCGAGGGAGCGAGGAGCCAAAATGTAGATGGTGTGGCTGCCAACATCTGGGGGCCGACCGATGGAGACAGAGCTGGAGGATTCGAAGGCGCAGATAAAGGGCTGATGGAGTTGAGCGTCGTCGCAGGTTCCGGAGACCTGGGCACAGCCTAGTCGTCCTGACTCCTGGCATACAATATTTTGCACCAGAGCCTTGCAGCTTTAGAAAAAAACAAAACAGAAACAAAATTAAATAACAGATTTGTACATGAATGACTGAAAGCAAGCATAAATAGACAGCTGAAATGGACACATTGCTAACGTTTTTCTTCCAAGATTGACCAAATCACCCTCCATTAGGCCTGATTCAAAAATCTCTATAACAGAGGTGACACAACATGAAAATATACTTACTATTCCTTTGCTTGTCTCTGCACTCAGATTTCAGTTTGTCTTCTATAGCAGCTGATCTGAAAAACAACAAATGTTAATATTCCACACACACACACACACACACAGCTAACAGTTCTTTAATGCATAAAATTAAGGCTAAATAAGTCAAGTAAACTTAAATAGATTAATAAGCATAACAACTGTTACTTTTTTGTCTCTATTTATTACTCAAATCACACTGATTCATTTCTGCGTTAATAGTGTTGTCATAGAAATGCATAATTCCAAATCTGCACCAAATTTCATTTCATTTCCATTATAATTAAAAATAAACTTGTAAAAAAATCAATAGTTGCTTGTTCAGATGGTATAATGACAGAAGTATTAGGGACAGCAAAACAAAACAAACTGAACACAAGATTTTAAAGCTTTTTTTAATATTTAAAATCATCCACAGACTATGCGTTTACAGTCCATGACTGGATTTTATTTCAACTATATACAGTGTAGCATGGCATGTCACAAAATAATGAAATCACGTCTGCTCATTCTCTTTAAAACAATTATTTTCTCTATCCTCTCAGTGGTCTTCTAGTCCATATACACACACTGATATAACAGCTCTGCGGCCCATGACATCTGCAACTGAAGATTCGCTGCCATTTATTTTATTAGTATAGTAATGTTTCTGTATTGGATGCTGCATTATAAGCAGGGAGTTTGAGAATTTCACCTCACACTGGAAAATCAGGATTGATTACATTTTGATTTAGGGAATTAATTTTGACTTGATTTACAAATCTGGTTATGCTGTGAACTGTGTCATAATTTGCATTGCTTTCACTGCATAGAAATGTAAGGTGAAATCATCATCCCCTGAATTTACCAACTCAAATATTACATTCAAACAAATCATCTATCTGCTGCTGGTCCATCAGTGTTTAAAAGTATAGTTAACCCAAAAATGAAGCTGTTGTTCGCTCATCCTCATGTCATTACATACCAGCATGCTATTATTTATTCAGTGGAGGACAAACGTTGAAGTCTGAAGAATCTTTATGCAGCTCTTTTCGAAACTCGTCCTTTGTGTTGCACAGAAAAATAACAGCGCATCGGTTTTGAATAAATGAGGTGAGTTTCCACTTTTAGGTGAACTAGTGTTTGAATTGTAAATCTGCTGCTAGTCTAATCAACAGTCTGTTCATTCAGTCCACATGAATGGCCTATTCAGAAGAAATTAATGTCCCTTCCATGCCGAGATATAATCAGTCTCGTCACTCTTGTCCGAATCCCTCAGTTTCTTCGATAGCGAACAGAAGTTTTTCTCGGAGCTGCTCCTGGTTCTTATAGGGTGGCAGATCCAGTCGATTAAAGCTGAAATTGTAAGGCAGGAGGGACAAATAAGCACAAACACACTTCTGTGAAAGAGTTATTTTGCACTGTCTTTCGGGTTTAGAGCCTCACCAGGTGTGACTTCTAGGCAGCCAGGTTTCCTTCCCCACTTTGTCTATGCAGAACTTTTGTGGCCCGTTACTTCCTAAACAACAAGATGATCAAAAGAGGAACTATTAAAACCATTTACACTTCTAAACACTGAATATGTACAGCGAGGACAGAACTCAGGTCACATGTGAAGAGCTCAAAGCTGCATGGTGGGAAGACTCAACACAAATTTAGTGTTACCCAAGTTACTGTAAGAAAAAGAAAATGATCAAACTAATATTTTTTTTTTAATCATTTACTACAAACCATATTGTATTTAGCTCATATGATATTTAGTTTGTCCTCCTTTCACAGACTCTTAATCAAAATTATTTTTTTAAAGTTTAAGGTTTGGACAGTGTCACCAATAAAATTATAATATATATAATATAATAGTAGTGTAATGCTAATGCATTTCCAATGAGCTGAAATACAATTGAAATGTACATTAAAAAGTGGTTCCATTTTAACACAATTTCAATATATTAAATATATTACAAATAGATTAAAATCAAACTTAAACATATCTTGAAATACACTTAATATACTTAAAGTTGTTTCAAAATAATACATCTAATATGCACTTAGTATAGTATAATTTAAATATAGTAAGTATGTCTGAAAAAGCACAATTTAAATATATTTCTTTTTCACCTGGGGTTGTGTGTGCTAATAATGACAAATGGTGATTAGCCATGGCTAACCTGCTCCCTAAGCACAAAAACATTGTACCTCAGCCCCGTCACTTAAAACCAGAGCTGCTGCGTGTTTCTAACTCTCTGAGGGAATCAGCAATGAACTTAAGATAATGCAAGATAACTCGAAAATGCCCTCTGCATAAAGTTTTCAAAAAGGAAAGTCAGATATGCTAAGGTAACCCATCATTTTTTAATAATTGTACGTCCAGTGAATATTATGGATGTTACATACACTCCTTAGGGCTTATGCATAAAAACAAGCAGAATGAATTTCAGTGTAAATCATTCATAAATCCATTCCTACATCAATTGTTGCAGTCCACTGAAGATGACAATCTACATAAGAATGGTTTTATGAATGATTTACTCAGAGAACCATTCTGCTCATGTTTCAAGAAAGAGACTTTCCTCAGCTCTTTCTTCAAGTCTTTGTCAATGGCTACTGCTGCATAGCTATCCCAGTGTTTCTTTATGATCTACTTAGATTTTCCTGCCACTGTCAACTTCCACATTTCACATAACACGCTCTTTGAAAATATACTACATTTAAATTTGATGTCTTTGTCCACCACAGGAAAATCCTGGAGGTGAAGATCATTGACGATGAGGAGTATGAGAAGAACAAAACCTTCATCATCCACCTGGGGGAGCCGGTGCTGCTGGAGATTGGGCAGAAACACGGTCAGTGGATTTCTGTGTGACATCCATACTCCATCTGCAGTGCTCTGTGGCTTTGTATTAGAATACAGATTGGGGTCCCTGTTTAATATTGTATTAATAGCTTCCACATCTATCCCTGAATAATTTAGAAACAGATTTGATAGAAAGGTTTCTTTGTGTGAACGGAGCGAATAATGGGAGACAGTGGAGGTCTTATAATGGGTGACTTGTTATAATGGGAGAGCAGGAACCGGCAGTAACTGGTCGCAGTGCAAGCAGCCATGTTGAAGCAATATCTCTAGGCCATTTCTGCACATTAATTATGTACTAACTGCTCTAATTTAATGTTCATCCCCATGCTCTTCAAACTGCCATACTGTTACAGAATCCAATTAAGAATGTTGATGCCATTAACATAAGCATTTTTTGATGATTTTTGTCTTTCAGTCTCTCTCTTCAATGCTTTTCTAGGACACACAAAGAGGTTCATTTCCTGCTTATGTGTAGTGTTACTATAGAATATGATACATTACAGTGGATTATAATAATCGCAAAAGGATGAATTCACTAAACAGTTATGATGCATTTATATATATGCAGTATTTCAGAAACCTAAAACAAAAACCTGCTTCTTGTTCCCTAATCGTTTACAATCAGGGGTTTTCAAATTGCACTTTGGGGATCCATGGGGGCCACAGAAATGTTCTAAATTGTCTGTGGAAAAATTGCAGATATTTAATATATATTATTTTTTGCTAAATGTATTTTTGGGGCTTTTTGTAAGTAAATCTTTTAATTAATTAAACTTTTAATTTGAACAAATTAAAATTTGTAAATTAAACATTTTGTATCATTTTCATGTATTTATTTATTTATTTATTTTTGCATCTATTGACAGCAATGTTGTTTTGTTAAAACAATGGGTAGGGTAGGTGTAGGGAGGGCTTTATTGTCCCAGTAAGGTGGCATCCATTTAATAATTTGAATTAAAAAAATTGTAATTTGCAGTCAATACGTTATCATTGCATACTGTTTTATAACGCGTTACAATTTAGGTGCAGATAATTGCTACTATTTGTAATAAGTAGTAAAAATAGCAGAAAATCTTGCTTTTTTTACAGTGTAAATAGAATCTAGAGAGATTTGTGCAGTGTAAATAGCATATCACTAAGAAAATCCTGCTATTTTCACTAAGTGTAAATAGAATCCATTATTTGCACTTACTGCAAATAGCCTCTATCGCTATTTACACTTAGTGCAAATAGCCGCTGCCAAGTATATAACACTGAGAAATAAAAACCTAATCTGAATATAGTTCAGATCTGCATTCTCCCATGCAACATTCATACAGTTTGCTTTGGCTTTAGTACAATAAAAATATAAAGGTTAATGATTTATTTTTGTAAACATGCTACACAGTCACAAAAAAAGTCTGCCAGATTGCTGTAGTCTGCTGCATTTTTATCAAACTAGAACTCAAAAACGGCATGCAAGATAGAAAATGATCATGCAAATTGTGTTCAACACACATTTTTGGCTGCATTTTCAGTTACTTGTTTTGCAAAATTCCTTTAGTGAATTGGATGCAACAACAAGTGCAGACCGTGCATGCAAATAAACAGCGCTACCACTGGGCACAATTCATTCTTAGTGAATTTCCTTGTAAATTGAGTTCTACCGTCTCAGCTCTGTAATACACGTACAAACTCTACGGCTCAGTAGATTTTTTATGTGTCTTCCTTTGACAGGAGACTCCAATGATAACAAACCGGCGGTGGGGGCAGAGGAAGAGGAGGTGGCCAAGATGGGGTGCCCAAGTCTGGGAGAGCACACCAAACAGGAAGTGGTGATAGAGGAATCGTACGAGTTTAAGGTAAGTCCTGTGAATCAGGAAGAACAATACAGCTTTCATGAAGTGGTCTTACCTGCACAGTCTCTCACATTCAATTTCTATCTGAATCCCCACCTCCTTGTTCCCATGGTGACAGTCTCAATACTTGGGTTCACCGGGGTCAGGCGGCTCTGGGATTTAGAAGAGATTTGAGGTAGAAATACTGTGTTACTCCCTCCACGATTATCCGCAGTGCTCTAAATGCAAACAAGCAAACGGCTAGGACAGGATGACATTGGAGAAAATGAAATTCTGACAGGGTTGTTCATAGACGCCCACTGCCTCACTGAAATCAGTTTAGCTGAGACCTCTGTGCTCACTGGGCTACGAGACAGAGTCATATTAAATCTTGTCTACTACGAGGACAGTTTTGTGTGTTTAGGTTTGATTTATCTTTTATATATGTATTTGTGTGTGTTTTCAGAATACCGTCGACAAGCTCATAAAGAAGACTAACCTGGCGCTGGTGGTGGGCAGCAGCAGCTGGAGAGAACAGTTTGTCAGCGCTGTCACTGTCAGTGCAGGTCAGTGTCTCTCTGCCAAACTGTGTTCACACATGCTCAAATAGAAGTGGACCACACAACTGATTCATATTCACTAAAAAAATTCATATAAAACCATTCAATAAGGCAAAGATGTGACAGCTTTCCAGCAACAACCAGTTTGTCTATCCACACTGAATGTGAATCATTCTGTGCAACATGACACAATCTCAGCCAAGAAGGAGACACTTAATGTTAAAAGTATGCTGGAAAGACGGCGCCAATAGCCTTCTGGCCAGCGCACCGACATATGGTGCAGTTGCGCTTTGGGTGTCCCCAGATCAAATCCCGCCTTGTGGACCTTTCCTGCTCTCACCCCCCATTTCTCTCTCACTCACTTTCTTTCATATCTCTACTGTCCTGTCAAGGAAAATTCATAAACGCAAAAAAAAAGTATGCTGGAAAAAATATATATCTTTTTTAAAAGTCTTCCTGTTTAAAAATGTCATATTTAATATTAACATGTTTTTTGCTGTTTCTCTGCAATTATTTGTGAAATTTACCAGCAATTTCTAAATGAAAATTGTTATAAAGTTAATCCTACACCAGTTATTTGTCAGCGTACAATTATGTGGAGGAAGACAAATTTTTCTGCAAAACCTGAAACTTATTTAAAACATTTCATTGTACTAATAAAATAAAATAAAAATTAATTTAACTGAATTCATTTGAATTGAATGTTTTTTTTCTAATTACTATACCTTACTACAGACTGTATATTAGGGCTGAGCAATTAATTAAATTTTATTTTCATTTGTCTTCCAACGATTATGAAAACAAGAAAATCGAGGGAAAAAACGATTGCGCCATATTCGATTTTGTAATGATACTCTCGTTTTGTCTTGTGTTATTAACAGTATGTATATACAGTATTTATGTGTTTGTTTGTTTTTTGTTAATTGTTTTTGAAGTTCAAAAAAATCACTTTTTTAATCAATAAATGCATGTTTCCAAAATGTAAATGAGTAATCAAATTAAATAGTTAGTGAACCTAAAGGTTTAGTTAATCCAAAAATGAAAATTCTTTAATTACTCAGCTTCATGTCGTTCCAAACCCGTACAACCTTTGTTTATCTTTGAAACACAAATTAAGGAATATTTGATGAAATCTGAGAGCTTTCTGACCCTGCAATGCAACTGACACATTCAAGGCCCAGAAACGTAGTAAGGACATCGTTAAAATAGTCCATACGTCATCGTATTCCCGTGAACACGCGGCGAAGACTGACACAGAAGAGACGAAATTGTTGAATAAAGTCATTATTTTTATTTTCTGTGTGCACAGAAAGTGTTCTCGTAGCTTCATAAAATTACGGTTGAACCACTGATGTCACATGGACTATTTAAACGATGTCCTTGCTACCTTTTTGGGCCTTGAATGTTTCAGCTGCATTGCCGTCTATGCAGGGTCAGAAAGCTCTCGGATTTCATCAAAAATATCTTAATTTGTTTTCCGAAGATGAACGAAGGTCTTACGGGTTTGGAACGACATGAGGGTGAGTACTTAATGACAGAATTTTCAATTTTGGGCGAACTAACACTTTAATACTGACCAAAATAACCATGAAAGAAATTGTCATAATCAAGCAAACCCTTCTATATATTGTACCTTTTGTTCACCCCTCAGGTGATGATGATGAAGAGGAGAGCGGGGAAGAGCGCTTGCCCTCATGCTTTGATTACATCATGCACTTCCTGACAGTTTTCTGGAAGGTTCTGTTTGCCTTCGTTCCACCTACGGAGTACTGGAACGGCTGGGCCTGCTTCATTGTCTCCATCACGCTCATCGGGGTCCTGACCGCTGTTACTGGAGATTTGGCCTCTCACTTTGGTTGTACAGTAGGCCTGAAGGATTCTGTCACAGCTGTGGTGTTTGTGGCCTTGGGCACATCTGTGCCTGGTGAGTGTTTATTTGTGTATCAGATGCCATTGCATGTACTGTAGCTAATTAGTAAAGGATAATGTAGTCATCCGGTCATTATCAAAAAATAAACCCTGAATGCCACAATTAACCAATTAGAATCAAGTATTCTATCAAATATTGATGTATTACATACTGTACTGTTGAAATGCAGCCGCTGCTTTCAACATGTTTTCTAATTTATCGTTCCATAATGGCCCTAGTCAGCTTTCGTGTGGATGTGTGAATGTTGTAGCTTACTTAGACTGTTTAATGATGTGGACTATTTAGCAGACCATGATTTGCAAGAGATCTGTGTTTGACTTGGCATTAGCTGCATTAGAGTGGATGGACTAAGTCTGCACATACTCAAGCTCTATATGTCAAACCATCTTCAAGCTCCAACATACATAATGAAAAGATCCACTTTTCTTCAAGACAGCAGTCAGATAAAATAGAGTGCAAACGGTGCTTGCATTTCTGTCTGCTCAGTTAGAGTTGGGCAATATAAGTACAAATCTATATTACAATATTCTTATACATTTTGGTTGGTAATCATATGTTATAATGTGTAGTTTATAATGTGTATATTGTAATATATGCTGTTTTGTTATGGAAAAGCGATTGTTTTTTTTTTTAGGTAAAATAGTGTCAAAAAAGATTAAAGGTATAAATTAAGTTAGAAGCATAGGAAAAAAATATTGGCAATACTTGCAATGTGACTCATACTTTCCCAAATCTTTTTCTGCACATCCAAATCTTTTTGGAAGTATTTTACCTGTATAGATGTTGATTCAGTAACCACTCTGATAGATTAAGTGAGTTCATTTAGCAAAGCATTCGTCACACTGATAAGTCCTCAAGTCTTTTTGAATGAATGATTAATTAAAAGAATCAGTTCATAAGACTCATTTGTTGTTAATCAAACCTCACTAGTTGGAATGTGATATTTTTGTGTGCACTCAATAGAAAGATGTGTTTCCTTGCCATTACTGCTTTTCTGCTGTCTTTTATCACATTACATTCAAATCAGACTGAAAACTCAGATTTATAACTCAACACTACTACTTTTCTTTTTTTTACTGGTTTATTGTTTTAACCTGTCTATCGCCCATCCTTATTGCCAGATATTTCTTCTGAGAAAAAGACAGTTGTAATCTCATATTTGTCTCGTCTAGAGATTCACAAGAGATCACAGTGGAAAATTTGAGCACAGGCTGTGTGCTCAGATTTCCAAGATACCAAAGTCTACAATCAAAAGTCAGATATTTTAATTTGAACTTAATTTCTTATCAAGTTCTTCCAAGACTGAATTGCTAACAACATTCATTTTATTTTGTATTTCTGTACTCTTTATTGTATGTCAACTATTATCTCATTTGTTTCAGCTTTTCTTTCTCATATGGACTTTTAGAAGAAACATGTGAGACAATGTTGATTAAACATAATTGATACCTCCATTCTGTCTTCTGAGCCAGTGTTTCCCAACCCTGTTATTGGATGCATTATCCTTATCCGCCCCATCCATTTCAGGTCTCTGCTAATGCGTTGAATCATGTGTGTTATATTAGGAAGACTTCGAAATGTGTACTGTTGATGTGCTTCCAGGAACAGGTTTTGAAAACACTGTCCTGAGCTATGAGCAATGTCTTTCATTAAAATGTTCTTCTTCCACTTCTAACCATTCTTCTTTCATCTTGTCTTTTCTTTTGCCCTCCACAGATACTTTTGCCAGCAAGGTGGCAGCCATCCAGGACCAATACGCCGATGCATCCATTGGAAATGTGACAGGTAGTAATGCAGTTAATGTCTTCCTGGGTATTGGAGTGGCGTGGACCATCGCTGCTGTGTACTGGCACAGTCAGGGCAAAAAATTCCAGGTCCCGCCGGGGTCGCTGGCGTTTTCCGTCACCCTCTTCACCATTATGGCACTGCTGTGTGTTCTGATACTGCTGTACCGCCGCCGGCCCTCTGTGTCCGGGGGCGAGCTGGGGGGTCCGCGAACCGCCAAGCTGCTCACCGTGTTCCTCTTCCTCATGCTGTGGCTCATCTACATCCTGCTGGCCTCGCTGGAGGCTTACTGCCACGTGCCTGGCTTCTGAGAAAGTTCCTGAGAGAGATGTACTCTTTGCTGTAAAACCTCCCATCATTCTTCCTCTCTGCTTTTGTGTATATGAGAAGTCTAAAATGAGTGTTTAGATCTGTTCTTACTGATTATTATCGCTGTTGAAATTGAACTCGCATCCTTTAGCTAACACTGACGTGGATTTCTAGATGAGTGTCAGTGGAGGATGATAGAGGCTCTGTGATTTCATGCACAGCTTCTCTTTATAGATGGATCTCACTTACATGGTGTCTGCCACCCCCTGGATATTCAGACAGAGCAACTCTCTCCAGAATACTCTCTAGAGAGCCCCCTCAGCGTTTTTCTTGCTTCAGTGCTGTTTTTTCCAAGGATGGTCCTTTATGCCTCACTTCGATATTCTCTCAGAAATCCCTCATCTATTATTCTCTCTTCCCTCCCAAGTCGCTGTCAATAGACTCATTCCCACTGCAGAGATCTGGGCATGCTTCACACCTCTACCTACCCTCAAGACATGAACACTCTGTTTCATCTGTCTTCTCTTGCCTGTTACTGAAGCTCCCCGCAGACATTCGTACCACACTAGCGCTGTTCATTTTTCACAACTATAATTTCAGCTCAAGTGATCCGGTGAGGGCTGAGCTTCTCAAACTGACTCCGCCCCTAATATGACCTTTGCCCATAACCCTGGCCAAATTCTACTCAAACATCTTCATCACCTCTGAACATGCCCCAGTGCTACCTACACCAGACCTTCTTCAACTCTTGACCTCACCCTCAATAATTATACAACAACTTCCTCACTATTAACCTCACTTCAATGTTATCGCAGGCCCTGCTTAGTACTACTTATACCCTTATACTACTATAGTGACCCCGCCCCATCACTACATACACCACACCTTCACTTCTGACTCCACCCATTACACTACCTATACCACACCTTTTAATCTCTGGCCCACCCCATTATTACCATACCTTATTTACATATGACACCAATTCACAACAAACAACGCCCTCTTCACTTCTGACCCCACCCACAACCCTACCTGTGCCACACCCCTTCCATCTCTGACTCCCCCCCGTATTATCTACAGTATACCACATATTTTCCCCTCTGATCCCACACTGTCACTACCTACACAACACCCATTTAAATTCTGACCCCGCCCACAACTCTACTTATGCCACACCTTCTTAATTTGTGGCCCTGCCCCAATATTATCTATACCACACCCTCTTCACATCTACTATTGGCTGGTATTGTAAATCTTTTAAAAATGCTCTTGTGTTTTTTATTATTTATTCATTTATGTTTACCATGCTACTGAAAGTTAATTATGAAGTCAACAGAAGGATTGTAAGAAGGAAAGAAAGATCTTTTTTCAGTCTTTTCTGGTTATTTTTGTTGAAAGTTAACAAAACCTGAAGAGATACACAATTTGCATGGAACAATATTAGTGATAGAAGTTGAATGGAGACCAAAAGAAATAGTTTAACGGCGACATAAGAACCAAGATGTTGGTGTTTATTCATGTGATATTTATTATTATGAACTATGTATTATGTGGGGAAATATTGTAGGCTGTGTGTGTGTGTGTGTGTGTGTGTGTGTGTGAGAGAGAGCATTTATTCGAATGGGCGAGTGCAAGAGATTTGACGAAACGTACGAGTCATGTGTACCAATCTGTTGAACAGTGTTCAAAGTGTTTGTATCTGACTATGAGTGCATGTATGCAAGTATGAAAGTGTGCTAAACTCAAGCACGGTGAATTTAGTGTCTGTCACTGCCATGCTCAGGAGTTTCAGGCTCCCATCCTGTGAGCTTCTGGATCCCCTCTCAACATCTATGAATTTACAAATGGCTGCAGCTTTCATGTGGTACATTTGTTGGTCCTAAAACATGCAGTGACTGTCCTGTTGTACCAAGCCATGTTCTACAGCTTCACTGTGTCAAGCTTTTAGCTCTATTCTCTACTGAGAGTACAAGGTCTCTAGGCCATACAGTAGGTCTGTCACTGAGTTTACACTGACAAGATGGTGAAAATTATGACTTTCGTTCATGTGCAACGTGGATATTTTACCCGTGAAATGTGAGTCCCTCACTTTCGCCGTATAAATCCTGAGCGTATCTAATCATTCAAGCACTTACCTCTCCTGATAGCATCGGCGCCACCTAATTTGCGTTTATGTGCATGGTTAATGTATAATGGTTGGGATTCCAGTTTAATTTCAGTTTGCTTTCTTTAATCAGTGTACTCCATCTGCTCCCTAACTAATAAGACCTGGTTCATTTCCAGTTAGCAAAGAGTTAAACTTGCTTAGTTAGCCCAGCTCTCTATCCCATACTCTTATTTGCTACGCGATACAGTGATTACGGGTTTCAGTTTGCAGATATTACATAATTGTTTACAAGGGGGTAATGTGTCCCCATTTTCCCAGCTATCAGCCATCTGCTTGGCCCAACCTGGGACACATGCTATAGGAAATGAAAAGTTATAGCTGTAGGAAATTCTCACTATTAGGGGCCCCAGCAGACCAGTGCTTCAAACTTTTTAATAAAAGTAATTTTGAAGAGCTTTCTGAAAAATGGTAAGAGGGAACGCATAGTCCCATTACCTGATTTATAATGACGCCAATAGCCAAATGCACCATTTTAGAAGGGTGCTATCTGTTATGACTACACCATTGGCTTAAAAGAGGCTGGCCTGCTACAGCACAGCCCTTCATTTTCGTGAATGATAAAACATAAAAATCTACAGTCAGCCATCTATGGAAATGTTGCAAGTGCTCTGCTCACTTTCTTACACAATGTGTGACGCGAAATGTGTATTTATACATTCCAATGATACCAGATTAAAAAAAGCACAGAGTGATGTATTTTTAATGCTTCTTGTTGCTAGGCGACGTCTTAAAAGAGTCATTGTCTTTCTGTCATTATGTTGTCTGGTGTCAGTGCTCTAGGGTGGGTGAAGAGGGGGATCCGTAGATTGTAATTACTTTATAAGGTCACTCTCATCTCTCTCCTTATATCTGGCCACACAGGGTTAATGAACTTAAAGGTTCCACCCTAATTCAAGGACAATCCTTAATTAAGAACCTTAAGCTGCCCCTGAGAGCTTTGCGTCATATTAATATGGGCTTTTGCTTTGTGGAGAGCAGAGCAGTGATTGATCTCCCAGAGGTAAACATATTTAAACATAGCAGTCATAGTTGCATCAAACTAATTGGGCTTTCTAAAAAACAAAAATTAACAACTACAGAGGATTATGGTGGTGAATCCCCATGTAATGCTCAGTAGCCAGTCGATAACCCTGAAGAAAAATACCATACGAGAACATATCGCGCTAGAAAATCTGTTTATGTGGACCAGGAAGGACCATCTCTTGTGGAATAAGCCTAAAGCATTGTGACTGATTTATGATCAAATAACAGTAGATGTGCATAGAAACACACTTAAAATGATAGTTCACAAACGATTGTGTCGTTCCAAACCTGGATGAGTTTCTTTCTTCAGTGACACACAAAATACACTTAATATCACTGGGGACCACAATATCAATAAACCCCATATTTTTGAAGAGTTTCTATATTTTTCCTATTTTAAACTTGACCCTTCTGTAGTTATATCATGTACTGAGATCGAAGGAAAATGAAAAGTTGCGATTTTCTAGGCCGATCTGGCTAGGAACTATACTCTCATTCCGGCGTAATAATCAAGGAACTTTGCTGCCTTATCGTGGGTGCAGCAGGCGCAATGATATTACGCAGCACCTGAAAATAGGCTAACTTCCGTCAACATAACCAACGTGACCACCTGCTTGCACAGGGAGCGTGCTGGGGACTATTTTCAGGCGCTGCGTAATATAATTGCAGTATAGTTTAATATAGTTCCTAGCCATATCGGCCTAGAAAATCGCAACTTTTCATTTTCCGTCGGTCTTAGTACACGATGTAACTACAGAAGAGTCCAGTTTTAAATAGGAAAAATATAGAAACTCTTTGGTCATTTTTGAGCGAGATGCTAACGGTCTAATCAGATTCAATGATCTATGCTAAGCTACAGCTAAAAGTGCTACCGCCAGACCCGGAGATCGGCTGAATGGATTCGAAAACGGTAAAACTCAACTGTTTAACTCTAGGGGAGTTGGAAAATGAGCCTATTTTCAAAAATAGTGGAGTGTTCCTTTAATTGTATGGGGGAAAAAAGAAAAAAACACTGATAGCACAATTTCCTTGTTGGCTAAACTGTGCCGTTAAATGTGTTTCCACGCTTATTTACTGTTATTTGATCTTAAATCAGTCTCCACTTCCCCAAAACACCCTCGCATAAACAAAATGACCTTGAATATCTGATATTCATAGTCCGTCATAGCATGCTCGTTTCATTCTTGTACGTCAGAGTGCTTGTGTCGTGCGAGAGTCCCGGTGTTACATGTGCTCTCTTGTGATACTTCAATCTTAAAGCATGCCTTTTCTATGTGTGTGCATTCATCTTCTAATATTGCATTTCTCTCTAATCACAAACATTGAAATATTTACAAAAGAAATGAATTGTGTTTGGTTTTGTATGTATTGCTATTTGATAAATTACTGTTTTAAATGACTGTTTTTTTTGTTTTTTTTTAAGCCAAGTGTTCTTTACTTAGCTATATGACACTATTGTTGTCTTGAGATATGTTCTGTACTGAGACAAATTTATATTTTAGGTAAAAAATTTACGTGCTGCATAGAGTACTTTATCATCATCATCTTCAAAACAACAATAACTACAACAACAAAATAATTTATGTTTTCAATGTTGTATCTAAAACTATGCGTGAAGGAGAAAGTGTGTGATTTTATGTGAATTCATTACAGCTGTAATGTGAAGGGAAACTACAGTATTTTGCCAAAAGATGGAGAATGAGTCTCTGTTTGTAATGCGTAAAACTTTGTTTCTTATTTCATTTATTAATGAGTACATTAAAGTTGGAATTGTATATTACTAACAGACTTTTTAACCCTTTATTAAAATGGCTTTGTTTTCTCTCAAGCGAACGACAAAAGAAAACAAAACACCTCTGTTAATCTACTGTCCATTGTTTCTTCATTGACTTTTCTTGGTCTTCATATCAAACTGGAATATTCAAGATAATTAACTAACTGCAATGTAACATACAGAATGAGCACTTAGAGATATTCTTATAGGCTGTGTGTTATGTAGATATTTTAAAGACACTTTAAAGTGCTTTTTATCCATATAATGAAAGTCAGTGGGGCCCAAAACAAAAACAAATTCAAATTTGTGTATGCATTCTACAGAGGAAAGAAAGTTTTGCAGTTTTGGAACAACAGAAGGGTGCATACATTGAACATCTTTGAAGATTAAGAGTTGTACTCATTTCCCAAGGTTTGTGAGGGAGTTAGTGTTTTTATAACACAACAAGCTCTTTTATCTCAAAAGATCAAGGAAAATTTGATTTGTCATCATATGACGCCCTTAATGAATCTACGCTTGAATGGTGATATTCTTTTCGATCTCTTGCGTTCTCCAGAATGTTTGACAGATGGCTCCTGACTCGGTCCCATCCCCCTGCAGACCAATGAACAGCGCAGTGGTACAAAACAGTCATTAGAGGAAAAGAAAGGAAGAAGGAAGACAGGGGAGAGGAAATGCTGTGGAGTGGAGAATGTAAATTACAAGAACAGAACAACACAACAGAAACTCTCACAGGGGAAGAACAGGAGGCAAATACGCTTTTTAAAAAGTCTGTTCATTTGAGGAGCTACAAATACCTCCACAAGTAAGAACATGAGATGTAAAATCAATGTAACACACTCTCATTTATTATTGCTCAGAAACTACATGAAACAACCATCCTGACAAGCATCTGTGAAGGCAGAGCAAACGTACTATTGCAGTTGAGTTGCCTCTAAAACTGGACCACAATGAGAGAAACTGGTGCAGTTTTATTTTCAACTGCAAAAGAACACAGCCAGATCAGGACAATGAATAATTGATGTACTAACTGAGCTTTTTTATTATTGTAACTTTAAAGTTCGCATGAAATGAAATTAAACCTAT